ATGGAACTCTTGCTCGAGGACCATGATCTTCACCATCGCAAGGGCTGGAAGAGCAGTTATAATTATGGGAAGCAGACCCGCGTGTGGGATCGCTTGTTCAACACATGCACGACTCGTATAGAGGGACACCGAGATAATATTGATTATGTTAACACTGCGGAAATCCCGTTACACTGATTTGACTCACAAGGCACGCCTGGTTGAAAGGAAAAAGAACGGTTATCTTAGCATGGCTTGTCCATCTCTGAGTGATATATGTTAAGAGTTCTCTCTAGGACGTGTGATTTAGAATCAATATATTTCCTGTCATGTAATGTCCTTGCGTAACCACAGCCCCTTTTCAGAAGACCATACCTGAAAGTCATCCCTGTGCTCAATCACATAAGGATATGGATGGTTGAATCGGATCTGAGATGATTACGTTTCTGTGTCTAGCACTCATCGGATTTCGGCGTTTACAAATCTCGGGCATATCCACCGACATTGCACTCCGTAGTAGGTGCAACGTTAGGGTTAAAGGCGGATTTATACCGTGACTTGGAAAGGGATAGATGGTTCTTTAGTACGTAAATCTGGGTTTCTCCGCAATACCTCTTAAGCTATCCAAACTATCAGTAAATAGATGGGGTAACATCTTGGGTGAGAGTTGTTCTAAACGCCGAAATCCGAAACTGGTGTTCATGATCTCCCTTGGAACATCAAAGTCATATAAAGAGGATTGTGCCCTTTGCCATACCCCTTCAACCATTGTCAATTGTACTAGAACTACCTCGATTATTCCATTTTGATACCACTGATCGGCCATTCCCTTTTTGCGTCTCTCTGAGAAGCCATACTTGTGCCACTGGCTATTACCGTTATCACAAATTCCTTTTATTGCTAGATTAGAACTACAGATAACCTGAATTTATAAAGCTGTCGGCACCAGAATGACTCAACTTACAACTGAAACGGCAGTGCTTCCTCCAACCACTTCTCAAAAGGCCAGAGGTACTCTCGATGTTATTGTGCAGGCAATCGACGCTCATGACAACCAGTTACAGTTAATTAATGAACAGGTACCATATCCCTTTCGTTTTGAAACCACTAGCCGATCGTAGAACTACTCCTCAACATTTGCGAACAGATACACAAGAACCCCGAGCTTGCCTATCAGGAATTTAAGGCACATGACAATATAACAGCCATGCTTGAAGACCTTGGGTTCGTGGTAAAGAAGCATGCATATGGTCTCGAGACTTCCTTTGTCGCAGAATTTGGAACCGGGGGCCGTGTTGTAGCATTCAACGCCGAATATGATGCCCTCCCGGGAATTGGCCATGCATGTGGTCATAACCTCATTGCGACCTCCTCAATAGGTGCCTTCCTTGGTGTAGTCGCCGCCTTAAAATCATCTACGCTTCCAGGTAGAGTTCGGCTGATTGGCACACCAGCGGAGGAAGATGGTGGTGGTAAGATCAAGCTCATCAATGCTGGGGCATACGAGGACGTGGATGCATGTCTTATGGTTCACCCTGCTGCCCATAAACGGTTCCCAGAGGGCGTCACAGGTGTTTCATATGTTAAGTCTAATGCAATTGTCAAATTCAGAGCTCGTTTTACTGGCAAACCAGCTCACGCGGCAGGAGCACCGTGGCAAGGTGTCAACGCGCTTGACGCAGTCTGCTTATCATACAATGGTGTTTCAATGCTAAGGCAGCAAACACAGCCCCATGAGAGAATCCATGGTGTGATTGTCGAGGGTGGAGTGAAGGCTAATGTTATCCCGGCCAGTGGAACCGTGGACTACTTTTGTCGAAGCACCAGTTTGGAAGAAGCCGAGGCTCTGAAGGCGAGAGTTATAAAATGCTTTGATGGTGCTGCAATCGCAACAGGCTGTTCGGTTGAATATGAAACGTGAGTAAAAAGTGCAACCCGGCCATGATTGCCACCTTTAGCACCGGTGCCAAACAAAACCGAGATTGTTAACCGGGGTCCATTTATTGTAGTCGCGAGGCGTACGCAGATCTCAGGCCAAACAAGACTCTCTGTGAGAACTACGATGATGCGATGGAAACTCTTGGCTTCCCAGTTGCAAGTTCTGGAGCCACGCAGCCTGGTTCAACTGACATGGGTACGTGGTTGTTTTCTATGATTTTGGAAATTTTGATATCCCTTTCCCTGCCGATACGCAGATTCAAGACTCAGTCCTGGAGAAAAGCCCAAGTAAACTTACTAATTGTCATATGCACTCTAGGCAACGTGACGTACATCTGTCCTGGGTTCCATGGCGGGTTCGCTGTTCCGGCTGACCCAGGTGCATTCAACCACACCCCTAGCTTCACCAAGGCAGCCGGAACAAGCAAGGCTTATGAACTCGCCATAAGAACTGCGAAGGGTATGGCTGTTGTGGGGTGGAATGTCCTGTCCGATGATGGCGTAGCGGGTAGAGTCAGAATTGACTTTGAGGGCGATAAGAAGAGTCGGGAGGCGTCTCGTCATATTGGTTAAGGTGGCGGTAGTGGATAGTAGGGAGTAAAATGTCCTTCGCTTGTCTTCCCCTAGCTTGTGTAGCTGACTATAATTCATTATATGGCGTTTTTGGATTTTGAAGTAATATCCGTATGGAACCTAAAGTAGCAGTAGTCATATGGATATATCCAGGTCACGAATTGATATGTTAGTTACATATGACACATAGGTTAGAACAATTTTGACAGGTGGACCACTGCAAAGACACTCGTATATCTCTGTGGCATTTGGAAATCGTTAAGTTAGAATCTTTTTGAGGACAAAAATACTCTATGGAGCTGTATTTCCAAAATAATTGAAGTCGCACGAGTATTATTTGTCTCACCAAGACAAAAAGCCTCAGTGATATGGGGCCTTTGGTATGTAAGTGATAATACTCCCGGACCAGCGGCAACACAACTGATGCTGAGCAAGTAAAGCCTCATATGGCAACATCATTTCACCCTCTCCTAAACAGCGTAACCTAAAGGTATGGCCTACATTCCATTCCTGGTTGAATCACCTCCTTTTCCTTTAACGAACAACCAATCCACAACGCTCAACTAATGATTTTTTGAATACACCCAGGATTCACGGATTCCAGTTCTTTTGCGATAGCCTCCCAGGCATGCCTCTGCCATTTCTTTCCCTCATCATTTGTCACCCATTGAGGCACCACATTCCTAGCGTGCAAAGCGCATTAGTTTTGACAAAAGAGCATTTTCTGACATCAAGCTCACTTACTCTTCGTTTTCGCAAGAATGAAGAAAACATCCATGGCTGTCTATACCTGCCACAGCTCCATGAAGGAGCGTACGGCTACCGTCCTCTGCAGTCCTCCCACACTTTGCAACAAAATTGGCCACATTCTCCTGTACTTCAGCTGGCGCGTTGCGGCTTATCTCGGTCTTACATAGTCCCGGGCAGACTAGGTTCATAACAACACCTGTGCGTGCTACCGGGACTAAGGTTGCCAGATGACGGACAGCCAAGGTCAGCATGAGCTTAGTAAGTGGGTATCTAGTGGTTTGTGTCAGCTCTCGGAAGTCTAGCAATGTTTAGTGATGGAAAGAATTACAGTCCCATCATATCCATATCTTGGGAATCCATCTTAGCTAGTGGCGCATCATGAATATTCCTCCATGCTTCCTGACAGTCAAACCCAGTGACACTAGTGACGAACACCAGACGAGGCATGGTTCCGTAATGCTGGGCACTGTCACTCAGCTTTGGCAGGATGAGCATAGCCAGAAGAACCGTGCTTAGCACATTAACAGTGACCGGTAAGGTGTGGCCCTCCGCCTCCATACGCTGCGACAAGGCCACTCCCGCATTCTCAATGACGGCATCAATTCGATCAAGCTCTGTCGTTGCCCTCTGTGCAAACGCCTTCACAGAGTCGTAGCTAACAAGATCAAGGAGCCAAACCTCGGCCACACCAGTTTTTCCAGTGGATGTTTCAATGTCGTCTTTGGCCCTGTGACCGGCGCTGAGATTGCGCACCGCGAGGACCACCCTTTTAGCACCAGCATTAACCAGGTGTCTGGCTGCTTCCAAGCCCAGTCCACTGTTGGCACCGGTCACAATGTAGGTCCTCCTTGAACAGGTCTCGGGCGTCACAAGGAGCGGAAGACCGTGACGTTGAGTTGCAACGGTGGCAGACATGACTGTGACGCTATTGATGGGATGTACTCTTCAGGGTATAATAAGTATAAGGCAAGAGATTGTATGATGTTGACGTTGCTTCTGTACTCGTTCCGCAGCAGGGGGATATTTATATGGCATTATGAGTCCTACGTTTTAGATTTTCACCGAGTTACCGAATCCATGACAACAGATTTTGTCTCATACGATGCGTAACTAACCTATAGGGCGACGTGTTCAATTCGCGACCTTTCCTTATCTTTCCATTTCTGTGCAGCGAGGACCGATATGCCCGGCTGCTACGCCACGTACACAGCTGTGAAAAACAATCTTACTCGGGATATACTTTCCTATCGGTTAGGCAATTGCGTATGAACGTTCGTTCCATGGTTCCTTGGAAACTAATTTCGCCGGGAATGTTATAGATCCGATACGGAATCCGGCAGTTTACAAGGCCGAAGATATTAACTAGCAAACCGTATTAAGCTGGTGTTGTGGGGATCAATGCCTTAGAATTAGCTTATAATAGCTCAAACCCTTATTGGACAGTTTCAGCCTTACAGCAGGCTCCACCTCGCACTTAGAGCCCTTTATGGTTTAGGCGAAGGATCTCCAAGCCGCGTATGAAATTAGGTTAAGAAGGCTAATAACTTATTAATAAGCGCAAAGTCAAGTCACCAGTCAGATTAAGGTTGAATTGATCTCTCAATATGCTGCCTGAGGGAAACTCACACTCTCAATCTCCACCAAAAGTAACCAGGAAATTTTGTACACTACCTGAATATTGTTATACTATCAAGGAACGTTACTGTGACTCGGAACTTGGATGATCCTTTCAAATCACATAAACAAGCGTCCTTTCCACTATGGTCAACGCCGGCAGGCGATCAAAATGTTGCTTCACGTGTCGCCAGCGACGGGTCAAGGTGCGGCAACTCTGCGAGAATGTGCTCTCAACCACCAAGAGTTTCAGGCTAACCGGAACTACTCTTTCCACTCTAGTGTGATCTGCAAAGACCACACTGCCGGCGTTGTACGGATGGCGGACGAACCTGTCCCGGCTACCCGGAACCCTGGGATGTCTTGCTTCGCATGCAGAACGCTTTCGCTAAGAGAAAAGTGCAGACGCGGGTGGAAAAAGTCATGAGCGCTAGGAGAAGTGAACAGCAAGAGAGACGGGTAGTCAGCAGCATCCCATGCGGAGTTCACCTCCCTGCCGAGCTCTACAGCTGGAGCCATTTCTACAGGGATTATGCAATTGACTCTGGATTTACATTCTTGAACATGCTCCCGGGTTTCTATAACAACAGCTCGTCACCGTGCTGCCAGGAAGCACTCCACGCCGTTACCTTGGCTAGCTTAGCTCGCCAACGTCAGCAGTCCGAATTGATGGTTAGGGCAAGGTGGCACTACGGTAAGGCAATTACAGCGCTTAACTTGGCACTGAATGATCCGGTTATGACTGCTGACGATTCGGTTCTGATAACGTTACTTACGCTTTCACTCTTTGAGGTAAGCTACCCTCTACTTCAATTGGGCCTTGTCCTGTCTGCTATTATATTCTCCGCTTAAAGTGCACGTTGTGCGTAGAAAAGAGACTCAATTTGAGGCTACTAAGTTGTCCCACTTGCTAAATCGTGGTCAGACAATTGTACCGGACTCCTTGGAGACAACAATGCCTGATGTTGACTTTCACTGCCATATCCATTTCCGTGGTACGTTGCTCCTGCTTCGATGGCGAGCTCAGCGGTGCCAAAATTCGGATCTGGATAAGCGCGTCTTTGCGTTCTTCTCCTACATTTGTGTACGTATCTAGTCAACCCATCGGAGCCCATTCACGGCAAACGAACAACTAACATGGGTATTCAGTTCATGAGTATGTTCGTAAATCACGAGTCGGGCGACTCGAAGTGGTCAGCCCTAGAGGAATTTACGACTCCATGGATAGATGCTCCCCTCTTAGAGCCAGTTCTTAGTCAGGCTGTTCAGTTTAGGAGGCGGGCGCGAGTTCAACTCACTGGAATGGGCCATCGCGCATCTAGATTGCAGAACCTTTCCAAGCTGATCAGGGACGGGATCCACATTAGCGATGAACTGGAAACTGCAGCCACAAGTGCTCAATTCTCTCTACACAGAGATCAACATTACACTGCATTCAATTACCTTCTCGAGGTCTCTACCATAACAACAGAGGCAATTGCGAGGAGTCTATATCGAACCATTAGGTACCACATCATGGAGTTAGTTATGGGCTTGATAATAGCCCTTGGAGACGAATGGGAGGAGCATGAAAGGGTTATTACTCACCCTGCACTCGCTGATCTACAGCTCTTCCCTCATGAAGAGCCTGTAGTAATCCTAGAGCAGATCTGCGAGGAGATTTGTGCTGTTCTTGGCTTCAGCAGCGCGAGCGGTATGGAAGAGAATAAGACTGGAATGGCTTATCGATCTTTTGGCATGTTCTTCCCTATTGTAGTTCTCTTATTCTCTTCATCAGCCGGGAAGGGAAAGAAAGTCTGGCTTCAAGAAAAACTTCAGTTCATCGGCGCGACGAGCGGCCTCGGTCTGGCAACGTACGCGGCGGGAAGAGCTACCTTAATGTCTAGAATATAATTATTAGCTTGGAACAATGCTAAAAATGAATATGTTACTGGTCAGCGGAAAAAGGCAGTCATATCGAGTTTGGTTCGCACGAACAACCCGAAATGGTATGGTGCGCTTTTACTTTGGTCTTGCTTCAGACCCACCGTATGATCTACACACGGGCGTATACATGATGAAGGTTACTATTAGTTCCTCGCACCAAAGGACACATTTGGTTTGGTCAACATGTGTGCACCAGCTGACATGGATCCTGCCCAGATTCTAAATTTGTTCTAGGAGCCTTGATTGCCTACACCAACACTATCCCCTTGTAGGGGCGAGGGGCATATGAAATGGCTATAAAAGGGCCAGAGACACTCCAATTGTGACTTACGTTCACACATTCTCAATTCAAGCATCATTCTTCCATTCTTTCTACAATCATACATCGACAGCTTTCCGAGAGGTGTTGTGCATAGCCAAGTTCATACCAATAGCCATGGCACCCATTTGCAACGAAGACACAAGGGCCAGTGATCTTGTCCGCCACTACGGCCCTCAGATTTCTGGCAAGGCCATTTTGATCACCGGTGTCTCCCCAGGTAGCCTTGGTGAAAGCTTCGTCAAGCAAGTAGCCGTAGCACAGCCTGCCATCTTTATCTTGGCCGGTCGTTCAGTCCCCAAGATGCAGGGCCTCATCGACGAACTCAACCATACGCACCCACGCATCAAAGTCAAGCCCCTCATGCTTAACCTACTCTCATTCACCGACGTCCGCAAAGCAGCCGAAACCGTCAATTCCTGGACCGACGTGCCGAAAATAGACGTCCTCGTCAACAATGCCGGCATCATGGCCGTGCCCTACAAACTAACCGAGGATGGCTTCGAAAGCCAGTTCCAAACAAACCACCTCAGCCACTTCCTCTTCACCAACCTTATCATGGGGAAGATCCTGGCCTCGCAGACCCCGCGCGTGGTCCTCGTCTCAAGTGGCGTGCATCGCGTCGGCCATATCCGCTGGTCTGATTATAACTTCAACGAAGGCAAGACTTACCAAAGATGGCTTTCCTACGGCCAGTCCAAAACAGCTAATGCCCTGATGGGTCTTGCACTGGCTGAGAGGCTCGGCTCCCGAGGCCTCCTCGCCTTTCCGCTGTGCCCGGGTACCAGTTTCACGAATCTTTCAGCACATGGGAAGGATGATTTGGTCGCGTTTGCCGCCGATCTTACGGAAATGGATAACATCTATGGTAATAAGTGGTTTGCGGGTATGGCGGACCTGAAGTTCAAGAATTTGGATCAGGGTGCGGCCACCCATGTTTTTGCTGCTTTCGATACTAGTCTTGTGGAGCATAACGGTGCTTTCCTAAGTGATTGCCATATTGCTGATCCAAATAAGGAGGAGGTTTACTCGTGGGCAACCAGCAAGGTTGACGCTGAGAGGCTGTGGAAGTTGAGTGAGAAACTTGTTGGTCAGGAGTTTAAGTATTAACTATGAGATATACTGGGTGGTACTATCTTCCTCTTTGGCTGGGCGAGATCAGGATAGTAGGTCTCCTTTCGCCTCTCAATATGCCATTTCCCTAAGTATAAAGATATTCAGATATGTAGGCTATGGATTGACGTGTGAAGTAACACATCATACTTCCAAATATATATGTTTTTGCCACAGTATTATATTCGTTATACACCGTCATAGTCCTGTGTAATGACGGGGTCAGTTATAGTTGAGTCTAGAAAATAGCATTCTTGCAATATCCCTAAATCATATCAAGAAGCAAATACAGAAAGAGCGCATATCCCCTACAGTTGAAGGCCTCTTAATATATGATTCATACCCGTTTTGTTGGTTGCAGCGAGGTCACATGACCAGATACATAGGCATTGAATTGGCTTGGCATAGTGCCTGAGGCGCAATTTTTGGTTTCTAAGTGTTAATCGTCATTCAGTTCTCCCAGCTTTATCGAAGCCGATCGCTTGGCGGTCAAGCCCCTAGTTCTTCATTTGCATTACATGCATTCTTTTCTCAACGCGCTGCGCTGAATAGATGATACTTGCGTCCGGGTATGTTATCCAAGCATCTATTCCTCTAAGCCTTGTGCAGGCATCCAACTCACAGCAATTGGTTCGTGTTTACCGCTTACAATCCTCCTATCTTTGGACCATAGCTGGAAAGACAGGTCGGCAGGTCCAACAACAACCTTTACCTCGAACACCGTTCGCCAAAACGCAGGTTTCATGCTGTACCAGTGACGATTCTTTAGCTTCTTGTCGACAGCATCCACAGAAATATCGAGGCAGCAGACTTTCTGGACTCCCTTTTCTCTCATGTTGTATGGTAGAATGTCTGGGGGTAAGGTTGACATCACAATTTGTACCTTCCAGTGGTCATTCTCCCGGCCGGGGTCTACTTTGAGCTGAAAATCTTTTGTTATACCGGTGTATGGGATTGGGGAGCCCTATATCGTGATGAAGTTTGAGTAAATATAGAGTACTCGCCTGGCATACGAAGGGATAGATTCTTACCTGAATTATCAACCAGTCAATTTGATTCACGGCGAACATGTTGTTATCTCGGGGATCCAAACGCACTGGTTCCCCAACGTGTTTATTCGGGTCATAGAGTTTGTCGCACATGATGCCGTAACTCACAGGGGCACATCTTGACTCAAATGTGACTACCCCGCGTTTTATGCGCTGAATTCGATCTAGAACGAGACCATGGACTACTACAAGTTGCCTGGCAAAAGGAAAAGCTAGCATCAGTATGCTAACATGTCTAGGCCAGCCTGATTCACTCACGGTTCATCTGCGAGAAGAATTTGCATGTCTTCCGCATTCGGGTGTTTATTCTCGGCTGAACTACCGAACCTGTCTATCAAACACTGTCTTATGTAGGGGGAACTTCCGAAACCTCCAGAGAGAACGAGGTACGTCTGTTTCGCGGGTAAGCCATTTGCAGCTGAACACTAGTAGTGATCAGGGGACCATACTATTTGGTCTCCAGGATACTTAGAGTGCATTCTCTTAATATGTCCGTCTAGCAGAGTATACATTTTATTGACCATCAAATCAAAACAATCCTTGATCTGGTCCCTGAAAACATATTAGCTGCCAATACCAAAGAACCATTGGTTATGAGACTAGATTAAAAGTTACCATGCAATATGCATTTGACCATTGTAAATCTCCGCTTCTGGTAAGTCCAGTGTAGGTTCCAAAGTTGGAACGTCGAGCTTCAACCATGGCGTTAATATAGCGTCTGTACCAAACGCGCATTTCAACCTTTGGAAACGTCCTGAAGTCATGATCCATGCTGCATCGCTTGGCGAGAGTTCTAAATGGTCGCGGACCTTTTCCAGCCTTTGGCAAATGAGGTGGTGGATTTTTCTATCAATAAAAACAGAGCCAATGGGTTGTCCTATTGGTTTGTTAACCCGAGTTCTTCAAACACTCCCGATGTTCTAGCCGTGCCATACCTTCAACGTGGCCCAGTTGCTCCAGTCTAGTGGGCTCACCCCGGGTTGAAATAAGCTTTAGCACATTCACGTCCTAAATCTTATGTGAGAATGTGGCCATGAACTCCTGCTAATGGGCTAACCAACCGTGGTGCCTCCACCTGCGTCACAGACAAGAATGGTATCATCTACCTACAAAAAGACCTCTAAATCTAGATCAACAATAGATAATAAGGTTACCCATAGTTACGTACCATATAATGTTCATTCCCGGCATATACAGCCGCTGCCTCTGCTTCGGTGAGGCCTATAACAGCGCGGTGGCGCGGTGTCTTCGTGTTAATGACGCGTTCAAGAATAGCCCGTGTTTCTTCAACCATCCGTACATCTTTCCATGTCGTGGGCACACTGAAAAGAAATTCCACCTGGCGCGAGCCAAACTGTGGGACGGTAATGTTGAAGTGGGATACTATGTGTTGATATATGGACAGGATGTAGTCCTGAAACCAGCGCTGGGCCTCCTGTCGAGTAGGGCCTTCCCGACTTTCATCTTGATGCTGAGGCGCAAGGTGTAGCTTGAAGAACTCCTTTATATCTGACCCCTGTTGTTCGGGATCGCACTTGAATCCCCAATTTTGAATTTTGCCAGACTCGGAAGAATACTCAATGGAGGTAGGCACTTTATTTGCGAGTTCTCCGGGGAGCCTTCCCGGCCAACGCTGGATTGTCTTTGGGGGTAACCATTCTGGGCCACAGGAATACGCGACCCCTGTGTAGTGGACCATAGAGCGATGGTCAGTTCGAATGTCCGCGTTACATCAGGGCCGTACGTGCGTACCTGTAAAAGTCATCCCAAAATCAATTCCTACCACAATATCCGGGGTCCAGCACTCTGGAAAGCCTTCCACGACTTCTTTATCACCCATTCTTGATATTCAGAAAGATATCAATTTCTAACAATTCTATTAGTGCTTTAGAAATCATGCCCTCGTGAAGGCTTTAAGTGGGTCGTGCGCTGAATTTGAATGGTTTCCCTCTCCCCGACCCGAGACTGCGCCACGTCTTCCCCTGACAAGGGTATAAGGAATTCGCTCCAAGTCCGCTGGCGCCAAATACCCCCGAAGGATCCATCATAGCGCTATGTTACTAGTGGTAACAATCTTCGCCGTGAGCAAACCCCGACTGTTAGCGGCGGTGCTCTGATTTGGCCCTTCGCCCCGACGCTTAAATTCACCAAAAGATCCAGTCGCGAACCGGGCGTGAGCGAGCTTTTTCTCTGAGCACCCTGACTTGTCATTTGGAGAAACTTATTCCGCGATGGATGAGATACTGTGGGCTCGGCAGGTAGCAACCCCAACTACGGCTTCGGCTAGTACAACTTCTTCCCCCCAGGCTGCCACACCCGCAAACCCCGAAACCGCTCTTCCCTCCTCACCCGGTGCCAATCCTACCTCGAACGTAGAATCCACACCCGGGAACCCAGAAACCGCTCTTCCCTCCTCGTCTGTTGTCAATCCTACCTCGACCTTAGAATCCAGCAGTGCCGCAGATGCTACAAGTACCTCTGTCACTTCGTCCCTTGCCGACTTTACTACGTCAGCCCTGCAGTCGTCCTCGATTTCTGAGTCTAGTAGTGTTGCAACCGCTTCAAGCACTTCCGATATACAGCACGCGAACAATGGACTAAGCGGTGGGGGCCTTGCGGGCGCAATCGTAGGGTCTATCTTAGGGACCTTTATCTTCACGCTACTGGGCGCGTTCCTTTTCCTTCGTCGTGGTAGACAGAACAAGTCCCGCGCAGAGAGGACCACATTGACATCCCCCGATCTCACAAAAGGACCTGGAAATTCCTATTCACACCCTATTCATTCATCACTCTCGTCCACGAACGGGACCCAGCCGTCTCATTCTGTTCCTGTCGGGGCACAATATCTCAACTTAAGCGCATATGTCCCACAACCGGCAGATGACGGTACTGTGTCTTCGCGCATCCAGACTCTATTTGATCAGGCCAGTCTTCATATCGACAACTACTATTCTACAAGCCATACTAAGGTTGAATTGCCGCAAGATACCACCCATAGCATCGAACACTATGATTCCACTTTTCTGCCCGCCCCACTTACCACGATGCTCTCTAACTCAAGGGCGAAAAGGAGTGTGCTAACCCATGTCTTGGTTCGAAAGTTGCTCCAGGCGATTGAGCCAGGGCATGAACCAGAGTGCTTGCTTCCGGTGCCTTACGCGTCTTGTCCACAACTGACGCCAGATAACGGTAAGAAGTGACCTCGTCCGACTCCTCATGTGGATCCTTATTTAGCGTAGCTAACTATGTTTCTTAGGTGACGATCGTGCTATATTCGCTTGGCGCATGCTCACGGCATATCTCCATAGGACAGGACGTTCGGCCCAGGAAACAAATCCTATTATCCCTCCAGAAGATGCAATTAAGTCTTTCGCCGAGGATTTCACCTCGACATTTGCATCATACAGTGACTCCCAGTTCCCGGATTCAGATCGGTTTGCACACTTGACCAGGGTGTTTAGAGCAGCGTCCGACCTTGGAGCTTGGCTGTTCTCTCAACCGTGCACCTATACCTTTTGCTGGGATACGAGCTCAACCCCACCGGGCCAGACTATCATACTTCCGGCGGTGGTGAAGGTGTCCGATGAGTTGGGTCAGCGGTTGTTGGCGCGTCAGACGTTGGTGGAGCGAACTGTTGCTCGGATTTAAGACGAACTTTCCTCACGGATTGGTAGGCTCGCTGATGCATATTGTACTCTGTCTGAAATTTGTATACGTGATATTTCGTGATGAGTTATTTTATCTTGCGACGAATTGTTGGCAATGATTCGAGGAAACTAGGATCGTTAGTTATTCTGTGACGTTTTACAAACCCAAATTCGCTGCAACGAAAGCCGGTTATACACACACAAAAGAAAAAAGAAAAGTTTTTTTTGAAAAAAAAGAGAAGGAGAGCGAAACAGAAATATCAAAGGTGAAATATATACATTGTACCTTAGACATCACCCTCAAACTGACGCGCTATATGAACAACGGACCGCTTAGTTTCAGCAATGGACCCTCTCGACCGACGCCAAGCCAGCAAATCGTCTATCTCGCAGTTCACAGTACCAGGAGTCAGTGTACCCTTCTTAGCGGGTTTGCCCTCGATTGATTCCAGCTTCGTGGCACCAGAAACCATGATTATCTCTTCAATCGGCCTCTCAACATGGTACTCCAATCCGTCTCCACTAGGAGCCATGATCTTGCCCTGAACTGGCTCAGTAGGTGTGGCCTCCAACTCTCCCACCTCAAGAGAAACACTCGAAGATATCCCAGCATCAAGCTCATATGTCCTCCGAGGCGTGGACAGAGAATGATCCACCTGCTGGAGATAACTCAAAACTCCGATCAGGCTACGGTGACACGCCAGCAAGCGCTGACATTTGTTAATCGTGCGCTGACCATCCCGATATTTCCAACACAATTGTCTCCGCAGACTGATCCTCCCATTGCTGATCTCCTGCTCTATGCGGGTCGGCTCTAAGAGCACGGCTATATCGTGAGCTGCTTCCGTGACGTCGGAGATCGTTGAGTTTATCCAGGTCTCCTCGGCGGAATCTAAAAGCGGGGCTTTGAGCTTTCGCAGACGTTGGGCTTCCTGGAGCTGTGTGCGGATATGCTTTGTTATTTTGAGGAGCTCGGCTACTTGTTCGGTTGCTGAAGAGGATTGTTTCGGGGCTTGCAATGATATTGTGGGTGATGGTGATGCTTCTGCCGGTTGGGATGCTGATGATTCGGATTGACTTAAGCTTGGGCGTCGTGGGTAGAAAAAACGTGATCGTTTTATTGATAGTGCCATTGAGGGTTAGAGGTGGAGGATTAGAACTTAGGGCTGGTTTGAATGTATTGGTTTATGCGTCGGTGGTGGGCATAAGAGATGGGTTTGAAGCACACATGTGCAAGGTGATAGTATCAACTCTGTTTTTGTTCTTAATTACAAGGTTCCCCTCACTTTTTCCTGTTCTTGTATTAGAGACTTATTTTTGGGTGAACAGGGATATAGCCTCATTTTGACTCGGCTCGGACATAGAAACCCTAGCTGGTGGATGGAGAGACCCATGTTACGCTAGGGTAGCTAGGTCCGCTTTTGCTATTTATCATTGGGCTTTGAATTTATGGGTCCTGATAGTTGGGTTTCGAACCATTCATTTTGCTAAGTTCCTGCATGGATATATTCCTGCGTTCCTGTATGACCTAGGTGTAATAACCTGTGTTACTGGTACGTAATACATTAGCTTCGTAAATAGGCCGGGTTTTCCCGATGCTCTCCTTATAAACTTAATTAGACGTATTATAACCTTACTTCTTTATGTAGCACCCGACCAATCTGTATTCGCCCTACAAATTAGTGGAGCTCACCCGTAAAGCAGCGAACCCTATACTGCGTTTGGTCTTTTGTCATACTTGGGCTAACTAGGACTGAGCCCCTAGGAAGCCCTGTTTTCCACACCTTAGGGTCGTGTGTGCCGGTTTATGGCTGAGAGGCAAACTCGTTAAGATCATTTTTCTGACTACTCTGTCAATGGATAGTTGAACCAACAAATAGTGGGTCGTATTGGACCTTCGGACAATATGACAAGGGTGATAAACCTTGTTCGCTCTTTCGTTCGACATAAGCCTGCCTGAAAAACAGTTATACTAGACCCGTAGTATTCTTTTACCAACTGAAAGCAAACCTTTTCATCGGGTATACCTTATTCGGGGATAGTACAATATATGAGAACCGGGCTTCTGGATAATTTAGAGATATAGATGGCCTGTGTGGGCGACATGCTTAGTATTATCTCGCTGATGTCAATATTCCATAGAGCACTATCACACCGCAGATTCTCGAGAGAAATGATGAGAAGAAAAATGAGACAATGTCCACAATGAGAAGGCTTCTGTCCTTCTCTATCAGACAGTTGGCAGACTATATGTTTGATAGTCTCCGAGCACTTCGGCCTGAAGATTATTCACGTTGGATTCGGTCTGTCCAAGGAAGCTGCCCCGTGTCATTTCCATACCAGACTCTGAGAAGCAGGTTATGAAGTACAACGACATCCGAAATGCACCCCTTGGCTTAGGATATACAGGGATTAACTGAATGGCATCTATACCTCAAGCTTCATGGAAGCCAGTATTACATTTGGGCCTGTGATTAGCTATAGTCATTCCTGACGCCGAGCCACCCATAAATGTTAAGAAATTCAGCTGAAAATGCTAGTCAAGGAATTTAATAATTAAAAGGGTTTCACAGGTGGGTCTAGTATTGACCGGTGTCGTTACCAGTTTGCTGTACACACTGACGGATACTATTTCAGTTAACATTTGGATGGTATACAGGGCGGCCTTATTGCATATGGCCCATATCAAGCATATACCCTTTTCCATACATAACACAAGGCCTTTATCTACAATGTATATGCATTGACATATCATCTATATCATAAAGCTCAACACCTCCATGGACCATTACCACTCTACCTCCTGGGTGAGCTTAAGTGACCGCGCATTACTTGGCATGACAATCTGGCAGCACAATCCAATGCTGATGAAAATGATGACCTTATTCTGGTATGTAGCAACGAATCCTAAGCATGAGCAAAGAAAGAGAAAGAGAAAGAGAACAGCTGCACCCGGTGGATCGCTTTTTATAGCGACGAGCAAATCTGCTGTCTCACTTACACCAACAAGGATAATTTCATACCTATCCTCGCCATCTCTTTTGGCAATATCAGGGGATAGCGGAGGTAGGGGAACCCAACAAAATGGCAATTCAGTCATCGTTAAGAAATTTTCGTGATTGTGACAATGTATCTCAAGTCCAACAGATAGTAGGGCACTAGAGAACTCTTGACCACCGAACCCACATCCTGTTTACCAAAGGCAGAACAAGAGAACCTAAAGTGGTTCAAATATCAGCACTGTCCCTGCTCCATATTATCCATCACATCCCCACCAGCCCCCTCGAGCCCTCAGATATAATGGCACACTATATCCCCACAACATTCGACTATACACGCGTGGAAATCTGGGTGCCGTTGATTGTGGGGGCGCGGATTGCTATTCTGCCCTACGCTGATGCCTTTGACGGGCGTACCCTGGAATCAACACTCCGAAAGTAGGGAGTCACGGTCATGATCATTGTGACTGCCTTACTCAATCTGGTCTCTTTCACCAGGTCAAGAGCATTCTCGACGTTGAGGATGGTTCTTTTCGGGGGCGATGCTGCTAACCCCAAGGCTGTTGCCAGATTACTCGAAAGTGGCGGGGCGCCTAGTTGATTAATCAATGCCTATGGCCCCACTGAGACATGTTGCTGAGCCCTTACACATGAGCTTTCCATAGAAGACACCCATTCTGAGCCCGTGAGCATTGGAAGGCCGACTGGAGATACTGTTGTTCATATTCTCGACGACGCATTGCAACCTGTCCCCGGTGGAGAGGTCGGAGAGGTTTTCCTAGGTGGGCCGGGAGTATCGCGGGGATATATGAACGCCCAGGCGAAGAACACGACTTCTTTTATCAACATCAAAAGCCCCCCAGGCTTAGATGAAACAACTCGTGTATATCGGACGGGGGACCTCGTTCGACATGACCCCTCGTCTGGGCAGATCTATTATCTTGGCCGGCAGGACCACCAGGTTACCATTTTTACCATGCGTATTGAACTAGCTGCAGTGAAAGCAACACTCATGAAGACCGGTCGATTTGTGGACGCTGTGGCGTTGGCAATCCACTCTCTGATCAAAGAAATGGGCAAGCTACTTGTTTCGTACATAATCCCTGCTGAGGATGTCGCCAACGACAAAGTTTGGATGGATTTGAGAGCGCCCTAACACCGTATTTTCCACACGTAGAGGCTATGCCGCAAATTGAGGTCATCGATCGCTTCTCTCTCAATGTTCACTTCAAGGTCGATCGTCAAGCTCTTTCTCGAAGATACCTTGCAACGTGTGATTCTTACATGCAAAGAAATGACAATGATCCTGCTCAGACCACAGAGCAGAAGCTTGCCTATATATGGGCAGGCGTCCTAATCATGCCAGCTGTGAAATTTACCGGTGAAGATAATTTCTTTTCGTTCATTCGCAGTGAGTTCCAGGGAGCATATCTCCTACAACAGATTCAGCGTGCTTTTGGTGCCAATGTCTTCCTCCATGAGCTCCAGACAAACCCTACTCTATACGATGGCTGGTTTGATTGACAGGGCTTTGGTCACATGACGCATGTATCTGCGCTGATCAATCGATCCAGGAGCTTTCATTAGTATGTGATCTATCAATACTGGAGGAACTTTGGGGGCGACTGAATATATATCACGATATTCTAGATGGACCAAATTCGATTTTTCTTTCCTTTCCTTTTTCTTTTTTTAATTCTGCATATGAATCTAACTTTCTCCCTTATTAGGAGTTGGCTGCTTTCACAGACGAGTAATGACTGCTTCTTTTGTGTTGCTCAACCCCCTTGCTTTTATCATGCCCCTGAATTAGCCAAGAATGCTATCTTCGGAGGGTATTCTCCATAATACACTTTCATCCAGATCTTTGGTGAACATTCATCCCTTTTACCATTGCTATTGCTGAGTGCAATTGCAAGTCACCACCTGTATGACCAAGCCTGACTCTGGTTGTTTCCCGGTCTCCTATTAGACTCATTTCTGGGTTCAAAACCTGCACGAGAGGTGAGGAATGGTTGCAATTGTAGTACCAAGGATATTGGACATCATATGCCCCAATTTGGAGCATTCCTTTTTGCTTTGTTTCATCCACGCGATCCATTCGAATAGCAACGTCGTAATATTTGTATCACTGCCTAACCTCCTTCAAGTTCTTATTCGCAGAGAGCGAGTTTCAGATTATTCATCCTACGAGGCCACCCAGTATGTTCCAGACAATGGAAGAGAAAGATCAGCATAGACTTGATGGCCAGCTGTCCCCTGTTGGGGACAATGAAAGAGGAGGCCGGCCAGCTTGCCTAAAGTCAACCACTCAAGAGTTCCTGTTCGTATTTTCCACAACACTAGCACTTGCACAGGAATCCTTTTTCGCTGGACTCATTGTGGGTCTGACCGCCGTTATTGGCCATGATCTGGGCATGAAGATTGCAGAAATTACCTGGATAAGTGCTGGTTGCTCGTCAGTAATATGTAGGTCATTGTACTAGGGTGGAGCGGAACTGATATATATGGCATAGTCTCACAAGTGGCGCCTTTCTCCTCGTGTTCGGCCGAATCGCCGACGATTATGGCCGGAAAAAGCTTTTCGTTTTTGGCATGGTGGGATTCACCTTTGCAGTCTTGGCTGCCAGCTTTGCATCCTCCCCAATCTACCTGGATGTCTTCTCGGGCGTCATTGGGCTATTCTCAGCCAGCGTTGTTCCACCGGCCATTGGCAAACTTGGTGCTGTGTACACGGGCTCTTCTGTCCGCAAAAATCGCGCCTTTGCATGCTTCAGTGCCGGGAATCCACTGGGGTACGTAGGAGGTATGGTGATATCAGGCATCGCAGCAGATATTTCCACCTGGCGGACGTCGTTCCGCGCCCTTGCCATTCTCTATGCAATCTTCACTATGGTGGGCGCCTGGGCCTTCCCGCCGGACGAGAGTACCGATATGCCTTTGGCTGTCGAGTCCCTGAGGAGGTTCGATGTCATGGGGACGGTATTGATCATTGTCGGTTTTGCGTCACTGACTGCTTCTTTGTCGTGAGTATGACTAGTTTCACTCCTCGTGGAGTACATGTGCTGACTAGCCGGAGACTGGCAGCTGATGCTCCGCAAGGCTGGAGTACGGGATATGTAATCGCACTGCTTTGCGTTGGGTCCACCCTGCTTGTTTGCTTCGTATGGTGGGAGTCAAGAGCACAATTCCCGCTAATGCCGCTTGCTATATGGCAAAATCGAACATTTTCCGCGGTACGTGGACCACTGCTTGTTCTGAAGGGGGGAATTGTCAACTCAATTTGCTGACAGAAGATCTTACACACAGGTGATTGCTGTTCAATGCTTAGGGGAGATCGGGTTCTCCTCCACTACATTCTGGCTCTCTCTATTGTTCCAGAATGTCCGCAAAGATTCCGCCATTAAGATCGCCCTTGAGCTGCTACCCATGGTTATTGGCGGCATAGCGGTAAATCTTGTCTGTGCTTTTATTCTCCACAAGGTACGCAATCAGGTCCTGATGGGAGTTAGCGCTGTCGCATACACAGCAGCCTTCCTCATCCTGAGCTTTCTGAGAGAAGAGGCGCCGTACTGGGCGTTCATCTTTCCCAGCCTGATATTGATGGTCATTGGCATTGATGTTCAGTATAACGTAACAAATGTTAGTTCTCCACGCCCCCGTAACCTCTAGCTTAACTGAGATCCGAATGCGTTAACATAACAGCCATGCAGATGTACGTTATGAACTCGCTTCCGGAGCAGCAGTCGGTTGCGGGAGGGATATTCAATACTATTACCAGGCTATGTGGTAACCTATCACTTGGGATTTCAACCTCGATATACATTTCCACCAAGGAAAGAATGGACGACATAGCCACCGATGTAGTTCCTTATCTTTTCACCTTTCGGTTCGCGGCGGTGGCAACTGGAATATCGCTCTTTCTTATTCCATTCGTGAAAATTGGGACGCAGGGTGACCCACCAATTAAGGAAGCTCAAAGTGCCGAAGGATAATGTAACAATACATCTATAGGGCTTTCACCCACCAGGTCTCAACGCCAGGGGCCAATGCCGTGGCCGACTTGCTCATGCACTGGTGACGAGGTGAACAGATACCCACCCCGATCCCTAGTTGTCAATATGATGGCGCCATCGCTGATTTCTTGGCAGACCAGCCATATGTAAATTTTCCACTTGTTTTAAGCAATTTTGATCACATGGTGTAGATTACTATTTCATTGCCTGCACGAGAAATAACATTACCCCGTATCCATTACCGGAATAAGTGGCCTCATGGACATCTCCTGGTTCTTGGTAGTGGTCAGAGTCACTGGACAGTCACCACTGCCTGTCTCTGGTAAGTAAAAATTCATCGTGGGCAGCTCGTGATAGCCATACTCTACCTATCGGCCAATAGCTCGGAGATCCCAGTTCTTCCAAATCTTACAAGAGGCCTTAGCTGCTGCAGAGTATGAAGGCCATACATCCTTTCGCCTGGCGGCTGCGGCGACCCAGCTCCCACCCGCACCATCCTCAATGTCATGGATGAACGGTTCGATGAGAATAATTGATGTTAATAGGCGGGGATGAATCAGGGATAAAGATATTCTGAGTATATCAGTCACGGCCACTACTAAAAGTCAAGGAGGGGGCCCGAAACACTCACTGTTGGACTGCACCGATGCTGTGGCCGAGCCCAATGATCGGCCGCGGCATCTCGGTCCGGAAATCGTTGATTATGTGTAGAATATCACGACTGTTATACGTACCAGGACGCTTGTTTACGTCAGAAAGGTCTGGTTTGAACCAATTAGTGCCATTGGGTTCTAATGATACCACTCACCATCATTGCCGAGATAGCACTCATTTTGAATGCCACTGGCACCCTAATTGACGGCGTCGGTGATCCAAATAGCGTGGATCCGGAAGCCATCCTGCCCACTTCTTGCGGTAAGCCCTTCCCATAGCGGCTCATAGACCTCCTAGTTATTACAGGACCTATTAACCAACTGACTACGAGAGTGATCAATAGCTGCAGGATACCACTAACCTTGAGAAGTCCAGTCCCGTGAACCCCGATCAGGGTTATATCACCTGGGACCGGTGTTCGCGCGACCGGTGAAAATGCTTCTAGTATAACATATCATCTTTCCCACTGCAGCGATCGTCACAATGGGTCAGGTCGTTGTCTTTGTCTTTTATGCAAGCTGCGCCACCCATCCTCCAGCGCGAATATCATTTCACGCCGTACCAGGTCGGGCTAGCATTCTTACCGTTGATAATCGGTAGTTTGCTGGCACTGCCCGTGTTGTCAATGACGATGAAACGAAGATAAACGTGCTCCAATCCACAACCGGAAGATACGTTAAATGCTGCAATAATCGCAGGGGTTCTATTACTCGTTAGCTTATTCTGACGAGGGATAGCTTTCCTGAACTTGACTAGAGAAAGAGAGCTAATGTGACGGAGTAGGCTGGCATGGACGGCGTGTTCTAGCATCCATTGGATATGTTCACTTATTGCTGGTGTTGTGTATGGGCTAGGATTTGCATTATCACAGGTATGTACCTTGTGCAATTACTATAAGTATCATAGTAAGACACAATCCAAATAGCCTGTATATCCATTACACAAGATTGAGGTCTATGGAGCTGAACTAGGTGCATCTGCATTCGCTATCGACGTGACTATGCGCTACACATTTTCATGTGCTTTCCCCCTTGTCACAGTCCAGATGGTTAACAGGATATCATTCGGGTAGGCCATGTCACTCTGCGCGTTTGTCTTGCTCGCACTGGTGCCTGTTCCCTTGATAATTAAAAACTATGGTCCGACATTAAGAGCTAAAAGCCGGTACGTGAGAAAGAAGGACCTGGGAACCCAGGATGGCACAACATGATGGATGGGTCTTTCTAAATGAGAGACTCAAATGTCAATAAAACATAAATGCTTCTTAATAAATCCAACTGGTTCAAAGCTTCGCGTCTGAAATACCACCTATCAGCGGCACTGCCCGCAGTGTAGTACGGAAGGAACTCGAGAAGATAGTGAAATCCCTAGGGTATTGTAGGCTCATGGTGTAATTGCCAGCATACTTGGCAAAGATGGTTTGTGACACAGGCCTTCAAAGGAACTTTGGAATGCTGACCTTGAAGGATAATTTTCATATACTCTTCTTGATAATCTCATGTATACCAGTATTGTCAAACATCTTCAACGTCCCTTCCGGTAACTCCAACTTTGTGGGGTCAATTTCATGAGCTGGTGTGTCCTCCAATACTGCATGTACTGTGCGTTCACTGTTCAACAGACGGCCAGCATTGTACATGGCACTGTATACAGTTCCAACTGGGGTCTCCTTTTCGATCCAACCATCGTCATCGTGGATGTCCGACCCCCTTGCCTTTGGACCAGCCGCCTTCCATAGTCCGATTAAAGATGGAAATGGGGCAATACATCTCAACCAGTCGTTTTGGCAGAACCGACCTATCGCCACGTCGAATGGAGCACCATCACCTTGCGGTGTCAAGGAAAGGCCAGAAAGAATCTTTTGGGCTCCAAGATAGGTAATTGCATATCCAAGGCTACATACTCCATCATGCAGCCTTGCTACCAGACGAGTGCCATTGTCAGCACCCGCAGGAAAACCGTGCCAGTATCGTGGTAGCTCAGGGAGAGGAACGACCGTGGTATCATCCGTTGTCACATGAATTGGTCCGGTCTTGAACGCTACCCCACAGTGTCCTATCCACAGAAGGTCCCAAGAGTCACCATAGGGTGAATGCGATGGTCTAGTATCACCTCGCACTAACTGCGAAGCGGATGCAAATCGTTGAAGTTGTTTCTTTAAGTTGACATCCCAGTCCGCGTCGTCCTCCATGATGAATGCGGTGGAGATCCGGTCCTGTACTATTCTAGAGTAGAGAGGTCCGTTCAGCACGAATAGGAGAGGATTTTAAAATTCTGCTTATCTTCTCGTACCTTTGCAGGACATTCATATGCGCCCGCCAGGCCCCCATCTCACCTGGTCGCTTGCCATGATCCCAATTCTGAGGCAAATCGCAAGACCTTAGTAGCGACTCTATAAAGTGTCCGAGCGAAAGTGACACTTACTGAAGGATATGCCTTTTTGTCAATGTCGTCTGCAAATACCCCGTTCACTGGCTCTGGGTGGAACTGTAGGATCGAGGAAGCCAGTGTTATATAGTCACGCTTGTCCGGTCTGTTCGGCATGTTGATGAAGAAGACCTTCTCAAACTGAGGCAGGAATATCAGCGACCGGCACGATCATATTGCTGCGCGTAGATAGGAGTACCCCAAGAGTTTCATTTTTCACTGCGTCTAGATCGCGGCGGGTTGCCCCGGACGCGCTGGTGCTGGCTCCTGTATACGATGAGTGCGGCAGCGCCAAGAAAATTAAGAGAATTATTACAATCAGAATCGCGGCATGAAATAAAGGACGATTAACTAACTTAGTTAACCTGGCAAGGTTGACCATTTTTTTCGCGATAGGTAAGAAGGAAAAAACGCCCCCCCGTCAGCCTGCGGAAATGGGCGGCAGGCGATAAATAAATGGACTTTTGACAAACATTTAATTATTCGCGGTGCCAATTTGCGAGCAGTGGATCGGGAAACAGGACTTCGACTTAAATATCTATCATTTGTTTGATCTCAGCCGCCCCACCGACTGTCGTTGGTCTTTGTTGCCTTTTCGCCTCAAACCAGTCTATCCGGCCCACGGAATGAGCCGCGTGAACTTACTAAGCTCATTCCTTTGAAAATCTTGACTGGCGCTTATCATTGCGCTGTCTGGGATTGTAAAGGGACCAATACGATTGCCTGACTCCTGAGACAGGGTGTCACTCATTGTAATTTTATGTAACCCTAACCACAGAACTGATACGCTTGGAAAGCATCCACACTCGAAGTGGTCCAATCACAAGGAGTATCTGGAAGAAATACCGTTAGAGAATGGGAAACTGTAAACACCCCTCTGATGTCTATTTTTCACGTTTTTCATTCCCTGGGCGGGCGTTGACGAGGGGGTATTAATTATACGCACAGGTTCAAGTGACAAATGGGCACCCACCGCCAGGACGAATGCCTAAGGTGATTATTGACACCTACTCGCTTTGGCTAGGTACATGAGACCTTCTGAAACCTAGGTACTGTGGTACAAGGGTCTTTCAGGGATCGTCATAAAATTGACCAATGTATTGCGGAGTCAACGTTGGAGCCGCCCACAGCTGGGGCCAACGAGACCCTGATGCTTAGCCCTAAATCGCTGCGATCGTCGGCCCGAGTGATTACTATGTAAAACACAACTTTCCTAGGCCGGTTAGTCTGATCAAAAGCCTTGGAATCAGTCTTCCAGGTATGGGGAAGTCATCAGATGTCTGCCTGTCCGCTTTCTTCTTGTTTTCCTAGGTTTATCGGTCGCACTACGGAGTAGAGAGGCCATACGGAGTAGTTCATTCCTACATGAGGAATCCGTGGGACCCCAAGGCGGATTAGCGGATAAGACCCTGATGTCGGTTAGGATTCATTTCGGTAAGGTGGCAGCTTGACATGATACTAGTAGACTTTCCGTATCACACGACCCTCCTAAGGTCCATTCCGTGCGAATAGCCGACCTTCCTAATTAAATTAGTAGAGTAGCTATCCGTGCACTTTGGATCTCAACTACTTTGCCTCCAGTGGCATGCCAAAAAGTTTGAAACTGTCCATTTATTGCCTGGCCTAACCGCCTTCCTAATTAGACTAATTGGCCTTGTAGAACCCTGGCAAATACTATACTTAGGCCTCAACATTGAGTATACATATCACATCAATTAAGAATTGGCATCTATCCCCTTCCTAGGAGCTATATTCAATGTGTAGATAGACGTGTGTAAGCTCAACACTGAATTTGGTAGGGTTGTAATATGGCGGTATGTAGGGCGGTCAAGCGGGCAGTTTCAAACTTTTGACATCCCACTGTAACTATTTATAACTACATTCTTATTTTTTTTTACAACTATTCCCCTCCCCACCCACTAGGCCACAAGCAGGAAATGTTTTATTTATAGAGTTAAAAGTAGAAAGTGTCTAATGTTACCGAGCTGTTTCCCCTCTCCAGATTCGATATTTAAGCTAGTCGATATAAATAACAGTTATCAAGTAGATAATTATGCACATAACTACTACTATTTAGTTATGTAATATTTATTACTAATCCATGACCGGTAGGCGCTACAGCCCTTTGGTGGACAACGCATCTCTATCGCAATCATGAGTACCTCGCCTCCTCCCACTCCGGCATCGAGGGCCTTGTTAGATGACGAGTGGAGATTCGAACCTATTACATTGCCCTGTGAGTGGGTGGAGGACTACCGCCCAGGTGGTTATCATCCCGTCGTTCTTGGCGACGTCTTCAACAACGGCCAGTACAAGGTCATCCGGAAGCTTGGCGAGGGCTCCTACTCAACTGTTTGGCTGGCCTGTGACCTGAAATAAGTTTCTCTTTTGCATTAATTAGATTATCGTTACTTATTTCCTTTAAGAAATAGTGGATATGTCGCTCTGAAGATTCGTGTGTCGGAAATCTCGGGATCGACAACTGAGCTCCGAATCTTACGTCACATCACCGAAGTCGCTCCTGTAGAAGGGGCCCGGCATATCACACGACTGCTAGGTGAGTTCGAACACCGCGGGCCCAATGGCGCCCACAGATGCCTAGTATTTGAGCCGATGGGTCCAAGTGTGAATACTATGGTTGAGGAGCAGCCGCAATTTAAACCTCGCATGCAAGGAATGAAGATCCGCTATGCGCTTCGGATGGCAAAGAGCATCCTCAAGCAATCCTTGCAGGCTCTTGCATTTCTTCACGAAAATGGTATCGCCCAAGGAGACTTCCAACTGGGGAACATACTTTTTACTCTTGACGATATCAACTCAACGCCTGAGGTCCTGCTGCGGCAGGAGGAAGATGTACAAGCCGAATCAATCTCACCCCCGGTACAGAGGGTAGACGGTAAAGAAGATAAATGGGCTCCTTGATATCTTTGCGTTGGGCAACCGCTAGTGCCCTTTACTTACTATGGCGAAGGTTTCAAGGTCAAATTATCCGATATGGGCGGCGGTCAGTCCCTCCTGTTTTGATTACCCGTTTCTTTTTCTTGGTGAATATTTATACTCATACCTGCCTATCCCGAATAGCGTATTTCTTTACCGACCCGCCAACAAAGCCCGTTACTCCACTCGGTCTTCGAGCTCCCGAGTTGATTCTTACCGGAGCCGTTGACGTTGACAATACCCTTGATGTCTGGAGTTTCGGCTGCCTTGTCTTTGAGCTTATCACCGGACAGCCACTATTCTGTATACCGGGGTCCGACTTTGAAGATGACGATCATCTTCTCTCCCTCACCGCCCGGCTCGGCGCCCTCCCCGACGAGCTCTTCAGGCATTGGAAGACCTCATCGCTCTACTTTACGCCCGAGAGGAAGCTCTTTGAATTGTCAAGTTGGAGGAGTCGCTCCGGGGCAGGAACCGCTTATGGTGGAGCAGACGTCCATGGAGGAGCTATTCGATCAGGCTGGCCCAGATCTTGATGAGGAGGAAGCCCACAAAGTGAAGGCGCTCATTCGCTGGATTTTGCAATATGATCTCGCGAAGAGACCTTCGCCTGCGCAAATCTTGTCTGATCCATGGTTCTCTGAAATTGACGTTGAGAGCGGCTCGTCCAAAGTATCCCTAGGCTAGTTATACTTGCGTCACGCGTGCTTGTTGTCATCCTCCAGACAATGGTTCTCTGTTTGATACAAGCAGTAACAGTAACCTCAAAAGTTGAGTTGGACCTAGACAGCAAGTGTCTGAAAGAGTAGATTCTGTGTAGTAAACACCTCTCGGTATGCTTGTTTTATATATCTTGAATATAGTGCAGAACAGACCTTGCCTTAAAAAGTAAGATGTGTGCGAGACTGCGGACCGTGATCAATCGCAGGTTTCGGATACCAGCTTCGAGCATACATGGAGAATGCGCTATTCTCAAACCTTTCTGTAGGATATCGAACTAAAAATTGGATGGTCTGGATGTCTTCGCAGACATTGGTTTCCGTTGAGGACTATGTTCACTCTTGATAGGTCATAAACATCCGACGGACCTAGCGTCTACTTCTTAAGCTCTCATTTCAGTTTTCCGAGCGCATTCGCTTGAGATGCATGGGAGAATTTCTTTCAGCTTCTACCATGGTGCCAGGGCACACGAAGCTTCCTAACTACACGCGTGTTAGCGTGTATTCCCTTCGCACAGCTAGGGTCTCTTGATAGCCTCCCGACGGATATAATGCAGACCTTAAAACAGATTGCCGTCGGAAATGAAGGATAAACTTAGTGTCTACTAGAGAACCTAATCTGTTGTCAATACAATCCCCTCACTCTCTGCCCCGACTGATCGTCCATCCCATGGGGTTACTCTAGAAGATCGAAAATGCATCTTCATCGAAGACCGCCCTGGGTTTGAGAGCAATTCCCGAAGCTGCCAACACTCTCTTCTATTTTGTATGCAGCGCTCTCGTCCCAGGATCACCCCCGACTTAGCTTGTTCGAGCTCGCAATTACAGCGTTTGAACTGTATCCATGGATGCCGAAAAGGCCACCGAGAGCAATCACATTCAATTCCAAAATATGGACGATAATCCCAAGGATCATGTCTCCAGAGTCCCAGCTGCTTTTTTAGACTTAACGCCAGACGAAAGAAGGTGACGGGAGAAGAGTCTCGTCAAAAGGATTGACACCCGGTTGCTTATTGTGATGTTGATCATGTATATCCTAAATTACTTGGATCGCAACAATATTGCAGCAGCAAAGTTAGTCGGTCTACCCTTTCGCGATCAGATTAGTCGGGTGGGCTAACTGGAGTAGTCCCTTCGAACCTGATTCTCAATAAACCAGGCAAGCCTTCGATTTATTTACCGGGATGTATGGTAGTGTGGGCTGTCATCCCGTGTTGCACTGCGGCCACAACAGACTATGCTGGCCTGCTAGTTGTTCGATTGTCCCTAGGATTCTGTGAGGCGGCATACTTTGTGAGAACCTATTCGATTCTGCTCAGCAGCCATTTATTGATATCCTCTAGCCCGGCTGTCTTTATCTCCTATCAGCCCGGTATACAAGGAAGGAGTTGGTGAAACGGACCGAATTGTTGTACTCGGGTTTATTGCTCTCTGGCGCTTTCTCGGGATCGATGTCCGCCGGTATCATAAATGGCCGGAACGGCGCACGAGGCATCGCAGCATGGAGGTGGCTTTTTATTATTGAAGGATCCGGATTGGTATGCTTCACTGCTTTACTTTATAAAAGAGCCAGCTAATTCCCATCAAACTAGGTCTCTGTGGCTCTGATTCCCTTTTTTTATTGTTTCTGACATGCCCATAATAACATCGTGGTTGACTGAGGATGAAAAGGTGCTTGCAGCCTGGAGGCTTGAATAAAATATTGGGGGAGACGATTGGGTAGATAGTGAGCAGCAAACTATATTCCAGGGTGCAAAACTGGCTATCGAACCTAGATTTTCCCTACTAGGCTGCCCAATGCCTGCTCAACAAGGGATGCGGCGATATGCCCGTGCCTTCGTTGATTGTGCAGGAAGTCGGTGATATGGATCATATCCAGTACGCGCGGGTAAGAGACATCATTGTACCAACACAACTTTTGTCGATCAGTCCTGCACATTTCCGCGGCGTTTCAATGATTTCCTCGATGAGGACTCGAAGGAGCGAGCTGATAGAGAGACGGATATCTTCGTGCAAGCCTTATCTAAAGAGTTCGAGCTGAAGGTGACTCCAGAGTCCATAAGAATGCTGCGGGTTCTGGGAGGTTCAGTTTTTCACCATCACCATACCAAATCGCAATGTGGTAATGGCTAAATCACATCTAATAATCTTGGTACTCATGACCTCTCAGCAATGAGGGAAATTATTGGAATACCTAAAGCCGTTTTGGGCGCTTTCCTGAAGCTTCCCGGGATTTGCAGCGTTCTGTTTAACTACCGAAATTTCTTCGTCACATATGAGTCTGGCTTGTGTGGGGTGCCTCAATTTGATGCACACGTTGAGGTCTACCCCCAGACCAAGATTGTCCGTGTCGACTTTGACACACCGTATATCAAGGGCCTTCCGGTAACCATGACTATGCGAGAAAAGGTTTGTGATGGGGGTTTCCAGGAACGCAAGATCCGCAAGACCTATGAAGACCCTTATACCCTTGAGCTGTTGGAATTTCACGACTGTGTTGTGAATCGACGTACCCCGAAGAGTGGTGCAGAAGATGCTAGCAAGGATGTGGAACTCGTCAAGATGATCATGACTGCTGGGCTCGCAAACTAGACGTGCTGACCTTTTGCATTTACATCTATTGTCAGCCGTAGGATATGGATATTACTGGACGCACGCTGAACCATTCGGTTCTTTAGATGGATTATTACGATATCGCATGATGTTAGAGCCAGACGACAAATGGCCGGAATGTCAATAGTCGAAAGTTCAGGCAACGCCAGTGAAGGGAAGCGCAGCAAAAGGAATACTCAGATAATTCATTATAAGTTATAGTAAGATAGATATGGTTATTAAGGTATAGTATTAAAGTAATATCTACTATCCTTAATTTATTTATAAATATAATAAGTGATCCAACATCGGATAGAGAGGATATGCCGCAGTCTAGCCCATCTATACTTCTGGTTACCCAGGGAGCAACCCGGCTGGGCTTTAGCTGAACTGCAATGGTGCTCTAGGCCGCAGAAGTGGGTGTGATAGAAGTAGGGGTCTCAGAAGAACCCCCAATCTTGTTTCCGTCTCCGCCTCCCACGTTCCCAAATGCTCCGAGAAGGCCTCGCTGCTTAAGTTCACATCCTGTTGGGGCGGGAGTCTAGGCTGTGCTTTCTGAAGTTCCTGATGGCCCAGTATCGCCACCGAGAGGGTTCGAGCCGAGAATAGGGTTGAGGCCAAGAGCATCGGCATCAAGTTGAGCGCTCACGGTACCAGTGAAAAGAGCGAGAACACAGGCTTGAAGGATAAGCTTGAGCTGCATATTTGAGTTTCACGGATGAAAGTGCAAATATCGATGAATAGGTTGAAGTTTGGTGTATGACAAATAGTAGCGATTTTAGGAAGATAGAGATTGTTATTCTATCTAGCTAGTGGTAGGGACAGGTGAATATATATTTGATATTACCACCCACAATTCCTACGTAGAAGCACATTTTGAGTTTGGCTATTTGCACCACTTTGTGAAACTCAAATACAAAGTATCAGAACTCGCATCTTGTGACTTATCTTGATTGGTGAATTCGCCTGGTCGTTCTGCAGATAGTCGTCAGACCGCCACATCTAGTGTTGGGGGTTACACTCAGATCCCGCCTTTTGATCTGATCGTAACTGATTAAAGATGACGACCACTGATGATCATCCTCAGTGGCTCAGCTGAACTGTACTACTACTACTACTACTACTACTACTACTACTACTACTACTACTAAATAGACACTTCTGATAAAGATAACTCGACTTATTTAGCTATTATAGCTTACTGAGATGTATAGACTCCAAAGCAAATTATTCCAAGCAAGGGAGACTATTTATAAAGTACACAATCTTGCCCAACTTTTGAGGAATGATTGAGATACAAATTATGAACAAGCAAATTCTAAATGTCTAGATCCACTTTTTTCTACCTGTGCTATCAAGTACCGCACCTAGGGGCAGGGAAATAAGTGATTGACACTGTAGTGGATATTATCGCCGCGCGACCCTTACTATGTCGAACGTAATAGCATGGAATATTGATGTCATTCAATGGGCGGATATTGAAAGTAAATGATATTCAGTGCATTTTCATGGGTCCCATGAGGTTCTCATTGCATATTAGTGTACTGATTTCGCAAATGTCCACCGAAGAAAACCCGACCAACAGTTGGTACTCCCCTTTATCAGGTATCCACTTCTGTTCCTTCTCTTCAAAAAAGGCAGAGTCACTCATATCTATAGACACACCCACCATTTTCTTCTGGCCTGTCTGCAATCTGACTTTCTTGAACGCAGCCAGTGTCCTGACCGGGTGTTCACTACTCGTTTGCATCTTTCCAACGTAGAGTTGGATCAGAAACCGTCCCGACATGGGTCCGTTGTTTGTCGCGTGAACAACAGAATTGAATGTCTCGCTGCTCACATTTCGTATTCTTAAACCTCCAAACATAAATGTTGTGTATGAGAGCCCTTGCCCGAATGGAAAATTAAGCTTCTCCCTTGGCATTCGGTCATACTACCGATATCCAACAAAGACCCCTTCGGCATACCCAATAAGGACAGTCTCTTTTTCCCTTTGACTTTCTCTTTCGAGAGAGGTAGTATTCCTCCTTCACTTTTGAATAGGACCATTCCGTTTGCTCCAAATTGCAAGATTGCCAGATTAGCTTATTGTGCTCCGCCCTTACCTCAAAAGGAGATGCACTGCCCTAGCTCTGTCGTTGATGGTATATTCGGACAACTCTCCCCTTTGGATGAAGTCCTTGATAACCGAAAGCTTGCGAACCTTTGCAAGACCAGGCATTTCCAGGTCTGACCCCGCTCTGAGTGCATCAATAACAGAGTTAGTACCTCCCCCATTGCCAATGACAAGGCCATCCCATCCCCAACTACCTTGGAAGACATCATGGAAAATGAAGTGGTGTGCGTCGCAATGGGTATCATTAACAAGATTATATGCTGTCATCACCGCCCACGGATTTGCCTCCTTACTCGCTATTTCAAAGCGACGGAGATAAATCCCCCGCAGCGCACGCTCACTAATCGATTCATCGACGCGTGCACGGGAAGTTTCCTGCTCGTTAGCAGCAAAATGTTTGATGGTAGCTGCGACACCATTGTCCTGGAGCCCTTGGATCACCTGCGAGGTCATATTTCCCGCGAGGAAAGAGCCTCCACTAAAACTGTCAAAGTTCCGTCCCCCGAGAGGATATCGATGGATGCATACCGTCGGCCCAATAATGCAGTTTACATTTTTCTGGCGTGCTTCCTTCGCAAGTGCCCGACCGAACTGACGTGCGAGATCCACGCCGAATGTCGCTGCGAGGCTGCAGGCTGCCGGGAAACATGCCGAACGCACGTCGAGATTCGTTGGAGGGGCCCGTACTCCATTCGGACCGTCTGGTATCCTTTTTGTTATCCTTGGTAATATGAAAGCTTAAATGAGTCTTGTATTTACCTCGATAGATGGAACGTTTTTCTCTGGATATGAGACAGTCGTGGAAAAGTTTTGTCCGGAGAGAAGTGCGATCTATCTCGTTTAAGCACGATACATTCCGTCATAAACCGAACTATGTGGATATGTTAATATACCTCTTGTTCTAGAGATAAAGGCCCGAGGATCATGTCAAGATTATCTTGCGACGGCATTTCGTTAAATAGCATATTCAGGTTTGGGGGTGGAAGCGGGCATCCGGTTTCCGGGGGTAAGTACCATATCTCTTTTTATCGTGGGAGAGAGCATAGTATACCAGCTTCTAAATACAGCATAAACATCTCAACGTTCTGCGGTTATAGAATACAGATTCCTGGATGCCTATACTGAGATATTACTAGTCATCCTTCCTCTTTCAAAATAGAATCGTCCGCGCTGGAGAGCCCAAAGGCTATAGAGGGGGAAGGTTAGCCATGGACATATATGGCCCGTAATTGGCTGAGCCAGTTACTTGACAAGCACTCCACTTAACTCTGCTATTCCTCGTCAACTTTAAACCCCACTCCATAAAGTTCGGTTTACGGCCCTTTTACCAGGAGGACTAAAATAGACATGATCATGCCTGGTATATATTAATAGCCTACCACACAAGAAGAGAAGCCTAGATTCGCTCGTACCATCAGGTCCATATTGTCCACAAAGGGCTATGTTAATAATGGTGAAGTCAATATCCTCAGCCATTAGGAGAATCCTCATCTAATTTCATGTGGTCCACTACAGGATAATTGATTCTAAGGCGATGGTGTTGAAGCATCCCCTCGTATTGTACAACATATACAAATGAATAGTGCCAGCTAGCTGACTACAGATGACTGGTTTTGCTTGAGAAGCTGACACTGGGCAGACACTAGTGGTGAGTCTTAGTCTCAGGCATTATCTTGGTTACATATATATATATTCCTTAGTCGTCTCATTAGTTCACTTCACACTGTTTGCGGGTGTCGATAACCATGCCCATCATTCCTAAAAAATACGAGAAATTCCAAGGGCCCTTGGAAAAACCTGACTTCCTCCATAACTAGCTATACCATTATCACATATTGTATTACAAGAGGTAAAGACAATGGAGGATTTCCCCACAATGAATCAATGGCACAGTTTAGAGATGGGACAGGCCACAAATGCCGTAGCCCGAAAACACAAGGAGGGTTATGCACGCCCAAGATGGTCTGGTCTAGGCTTAGCAGCTAGAGCACTTGGCATCGGTGCAATCGCAAGAATACTTAAGATGAGATGAAACTTGTGATGGGCGCCCATGTGGTACATACATAATTTAGCCCTACGAACCTACCCCAACAATGACAAGACCAACAAGCGAACCGGGGAAAGGTGATGCCTGTTCCGAATGTTGCCGATCATCCCGCCTAAGCGTTCTATTAGGATCTCCATCCTAGTAGCTAAGAAGTGGATTAGAGTGTGATTTTTAGAGTGGGTCGTCGCTACGTCCTTATTAAAGTGAGCTTCATAGCACAATTTCCTACCTCGCTTTCACGACTCGCTTGAGCACATGGTAACTATAATATCAATGCAAGATGCGGAGAGATCAGGCCACAGCGTTACTTCACTAAATTGAGTAAATTCAAATTATTATTCTCTTTCACACACTGGTTGCCTGTTACTCCTTGCCCGAATGAAGCCTAAACTATATATACAGAGTGCCAGGTCAAATGACGACAGGTATAATAACATAACCTCTGCTGTATGGAGAGTCCATCTGGATGTTATCTATAGTACTTATCTGCACTACAAATTATGCACATCGTGCAACTCTCATGTTTTGATAATCTGTGAACATTTCATTACGTTTAAAGCTTTGCTGTACGGACAGTTGATACTCCTTTAAAAAAGTGAATAGCCCTACACACCTGATCTTTGGCCTCCATCTAGTTCGTAAACCGGTCTTGTAGTGCCTCGCAATTCACTGCGCGCATTGCTGCCTGCTTCTAACTCCCGTCGCGGATCCTCAGCTGGTAGTTAACCTCCCACGCGGCCCCTCACCACCGATGCATTGTCGGACCACTTTTCCACCTGTGGTTGATTCTGACTATCTCACCGTCGCTTTCTCAGGATGAAGAAGATTATTGCCAAGATGATAGCTACACCGGCAATGCCACCCACTACACCACCTACTATCGCCCCGATCTCGGTCGATGAATTACTAGCACTGCTCGATGGTTCGGGTCGCGCATCCGTTGAGTTGGCGGAATCGTCGGTTTTCTCAAAAAGTGATTTCAAAGCTGGATCAGCCCACGTTGATGGATAGGGCGAGGATTTGATGTCATCGGCTGTTGCAGAGGGGACTGAATAAGCTGATAATCCAGGCTGTGTGCATGGGTCAGTCCCTATCCTAAACGATTGAGAGAAAACAAATAATCATACGTCGAATTGGGCCCGGATGACCTCGGATTGAGCGTCATATATAAAGGCCGGCATATCATAGCATCCTGCACCGGAGTCAACTGCCCACGCGAGTCGACCTCCACACCGAATATTTGCCGTCCATATGCTTGACATGCAAGGGTCGTACGAGGTTTGTTGAGAGGCCCAGCTTGAAACCATTTGAAAGATGGGATCGATAGATAGGATCTGATAAGTCAGCGTTAGGTCTCCCCTAGATGTCAGGACTGTCAGACTCCTCAGGGAACAGCAGGCCATATAATAGTGGAATTGTCATATGAAAGCGAGTTGATTTCCCCTAAGTGCCATGAGGGAGCGGATATGCCGCGTAAGCGGCCACATGTGGCAGAATACACAGTGGGAGTATACGACATATGACTCCGGAGTATATGACAGGAATACAGAAAATGGCGCCGCCAGCGACAGATCCTACATAGAAATCTAGTAAAGGCAGGGGTGCAACCACCTAGACAGGGGAAAGCAGCTCCAGAAAGCCGTCTCTTTGGTGATCAGAGGACTACAAAAGCCCTGATAGCTTTTCTTACAATGACAAAGACTGGATACTTCCCGGGAGAGACAGCCAGGGAGATAGAGAGGATCTCTAGAGATAATCTAAGAGATATAGGGATAGTGGAGGAAGGAGAGAGTAGGGGGAAGGATAGTAGGAGGGGTAGCCTAAGCACATATAGGAGATACCCAACAGACATTGAATACCGAGGAGGGCGAAGCCCAAATGCTTTGGCGCAGATAGGCAGATCGGGCAACGAAAAGGACCAGAACGAATATACAAAGGATAGTAGGAGCTCTATGAGCTCCTAGGGATAAATTAGAGGCAGTGGTCGAGACCACTGCCTAGACGCAGGTGTCTGTCATAGCCAAACGGCTCTATATGGACGTTAAATCTGATTAAATAATAATAATAACTAGTCACTAGTTTTAGAACACTAAAGAGGCAAGGCCCTTATATCGGGTAGATCTCTAGAGGAGTATTAGTAAGAGAAGATATCTATATGTAGTAAATTCTAGGAATTATATATTATAAAATTAATATCTATAGACTCTGGGACAGAGTTGAGCAGCGGTGATATGCGTTCGGGGATTCCCGATATAGTAGACCAGTAGTGATTACTGACAGCTCACCAGTTCAACTATAATATATATTTAAGTGACCACTATATCAGAGGACTCAGGGGCTCTGTCCTGTAGTAATAGATTATAATGGTAGTATAATCGAGGGTGAGACACAATAGAAGGGGTATCTAGCTGGAATATAGGTCCTGTTCTATACCAAGGGGGCCACGGCGTGGGAATATAATACATCTATTCCACTTTCAACGTGGTATGTCAGATACGCAATATTCCCGTGATCAGTCTCGCCGTTGGCACAGCGGGATTGGTACAGAAATGTGACATATCCGATCCCAATGCCCACATGGGGGATGGTGCGGCATGTAGCGTGTTTGACCTCTGTTGACATTATGGATCAGTATGGGGGTGTCCAGTATCGCCCGCAATGTTAACAGACGGTTGATTCTGGGTCAGGCCCATCCCCTAGACGTGAGACGAGCCGCGCCCGCACCTAGTAGTTAAGCATCCGTTGGGGGCGCGCGGCGCTCGTCTCGACCTCTCGAAGAAGTATAGCAGAAGACGTCGAGGTGAGCCCATTGAATTGTATATATTACCAGTACATCTCCAACTACAGTAAATCATCGAGGAAACCCATTAGGATATATATACATAAAGCCCATGTTATTAACCTATATCAGGCTATCTACCCATTATCCTAATCGACGTAAGTACATTACTGGAGGTTGGGGGCCGGGGGAGTTGGGGGGTTTGTGTTGACATGGACATTGAAGAATGAAGTGGAATGGTTTCGGAATTTTCCTTGAGACAGTGCAATCAGAGAAAGGATAATGCTTGGAACTCGCATTCTACACCATCTGTCTGAAAGCCGGCTTCTTTGACATAGATTCTTGATAAACTGCGTAACCATACCGACTTAAGGTGAATCACCTTAAAGATACCCGTAGACTATTTGACATGAATGGGATAATATACATACATAGAAACACTCAGATTGAAGAAGCCGTAACGCCTGGCCCACATCAGACAGCATCAAAATTTTTTCCTCCCTTGTTGTATACCGCCTTGATGGCAATATTCATTATATCCATGAACCTGTCATTTTCCAGAAAGACATCTTCATTATGCCAGTCATTATTGCTTGCACGAGCAGCGTGGGTGCTGAAGTAAGAATGCCCCATTAAGGAAGCCATATTACGAAAACCTTTATGATTCAACCCTGCCGGCAGAATCTCAACCATAGATGAGCCCTGTGACAGGAAGATCCCATGGGTTAGTCCAGCCCCATGTACTCCAACAAGAACGTCCGTCCCTCGGACTATGTCTAACTGCCGCTCGAGGGACATCGTCGCGAAATCAAAGGATTGAAGTCTTGTATGGGGTATGTTCGCTTCAACGGCCTGGAGGTACTCTTCGCTATGCGTAAGTCTCCGTGAGCCAGTACGATTGATAAACGTCACGACAATTTCTGGGCCTTCGGGCACGCGCTCTTTGAGCCCATAGAAATCCAAGACTCGGTTGGAAAAGGTACGTAACAAAGGTGAATCCTTGCAGGAATGTGGTTCCCAATCACCTTGCCATAATGGATTGCTACCACCGGCAAGAGGAATGATTAAGTTTTGCGGTTCAATTGATAAATCCAGGCTCAAATCATGTAGGCGTAGCGCTGGTCTCTTTGCAAAAAGCGACCACAGATCAAAAAACGGTCCATTTTCGTGGTTGTCCATAATCAGTACTTGGGTATTGTCGATATCAGCAGCTGTAAAGAGGGGTCTTTCACTATCGGCATCACGACTCATCTGCAGAACATCGATTGTCATAGTCATGGAGAAGATCTCCATAAGCGTGTGCCAGGGATTCGTTGCACCTTCACGGTTGACTAGTATTGTGAAGTTCGCACTCCCAAGTGGTGTCCCAGTGCTAGTACTCAAGTCGTTCTGTAGATCGATCAGGTTGTTGAAAACTACGTTCGGGCCAGTGTTATACCAATAGTTCTCAAACCGACCGTATTGAGGAATGTCGAACGGGGAATCTGGCTTCGAGGGTTGTTGAAGTTCACAATCCAAAGCGAACTTTTGGCGACTAGCATTGTAACTAGCACCCTGTGCTAAACAGAACGTATCAACGCGCGAGCCAGAGGCCTGGTTGTGGAAACACGTTAAGGTAGAAGGGGATTGCGGAGCACAATATTCGGCTGCTACACCACGCGTATTTTCCAGATAGGCCATGCCAAATAAATTCGCGCAAAGGGGGGCTTCTCGGGGGCTAGCGACGTAATCTGAAGGCGGGGGTGGCATCACGACTTCTTTGTCCCCCACATCTTCCGCAGCAGGAGTGGGCGACAGATGTAATGTAGTTTCTCGAGCATGTCTAGGAACGAGCAGGAAAGAAATGAACGATAAGATGATAAACGCAGATACAACGAAGCGCAGGGCTTTCCGCTGGAGAAATACAGCTCTATAGTCCATCTCTGCCCGAGTGTTGGGTCAGGTAAACGAGCCCAATCTGGAACGCGGTAAGACGTTGTTCAGAATTAGACGACGGAATGGGAGAACAAATTATAGGTAAAAATGTGACATTCCCAAAGTGGGGCGAAAGTGGGAGAGGGCAACTTGTGACTACAAGGGCTCCAATGCAATCAACACTCCGTAAACGGGGATTCCACCACATTCGGATCCCACGGCAGAACTGACTAACTTTCGGTAGTCACTAAGTAACTTAAGCAAGTCAGCCTTGGATCTTTTTTAAATGCACATCATGTGATCTTTCCACCACGAGGTTGTAGCTAGGGATCGGAAAATCTCAGAAATTCTAACTTTAGAAACAGAGGCCGGTTTCAATTTTGTCATCAAAGTTTTCTACAACTTGGCAAAAGGGTGACATTCCCAGGGCGCGGACGTCAGAAGGTCGGGCGGGCAGACTCAGCTTCGGATGACAACTCGATGAAAAGTCCGAGTGACTCGCTTAGGTACTAACCACTCTGGTCCGGCCGGATTCGGATCCTGGTGCTTGAAAGTGATCATCGCAATTTCGGGTCAGCTCGGGAGGACGGGACCATCCACCACGGAAGTTTTAGCGCTGAGGGGTTTGGTTTTCATATATAGACTCACCATGATTGGACAGCCATCATAGGCTAATGCATGTTGGTCAAAGTTGCCAAGGCCGTACCGAGTTATAATCCCAGGACCACTAAGAAATGGTGGTGTCAGCCTTTCGGTTGGCAAAAGCAGGTGTTGACCCTTAGCGTCTTAGCGTGAGGCGCTCTTGTATCCACTTGAGAGGGAGCAACCTAAATAATGATCAGCATCATGGAACACTGGAATACTGTGGTTACATGATGTTATATACGGCATACAAGGTTACTTTATATTGGTGAGGAAGAAGAAAGTGTCTGACAAGAAAATGGATGTTGGTTTCACCCGTACCCTGGCCCAGAAGAAAGGGTGTTCCCAAATCGACACGAGGGAAAACTTGGGCGCTAAGCAGAAGTCTCATTTCCCGATGTTTGGTAGGGGATCGTAACACGAGCGCTAGGTTAGTTTAGTTCGAATATCCCTGTCGCTTTCTCGCTTCGAAAAGCACCAGATCGCTAGCCATATATAGGCGTCCCGTGCTGGTAGCCCATTTTGTGCAGCCTTTTGGACGCAATACCCGGTGCAGGCCGTCATACGGACCAAGCATGTTCAATAAAAGGAGGGTCCCATGTGGCCTTACTGTTACTCTTCTGTTCAGTCTACAGAGCGTTTCATTGTCCGCAGCAGGAGACTGTGCTCCTTATCCAGTCAGCGTTAATCTCAATAATGTGACTCTTGGGAATACAACTGCCCGAGGTGTATCCCTATCTGTTGGTAGCCCAAAACAGTCATTTGCATTCTTGCCTCAATGGTAAACCGCCCGCCTGACGCACATGAGCATCACTAATCAGATGACATAGGCCTTTGAACAGCACGTTTGTGTACGGCACTGATGGATATTGCGGCGAATCATGGTCCGAGGCAGGCTGTCGAACATTTCGAGGAGGCGCATACGATTCATCATCGTCGACAACATATAAGGATGCCCCATCGAACCATATAGAAGCTTCGCCATATCCAGATTTCACATGGGGAAAAGACGACCTCATATTCAATTCCAATACTACGCTGTTAGACTTCCCGATAGGAATCGCACGAAGCGATTGGGGCGCGCAAGGATATCATCCCCAGGTGGCTTTTGGTCTGGGCAGGAACTCCACCATTCTAAATAGCCTCTATACCGCCGGTCACATTGCATCACGATCATGGGCTATGTTCTGGGGTCGCACAGGTGGCACCGCGAACACACAGCAAGATGGGAATTTCGTCTTTGGCGGCTTCGATAAGTCCAAGGCTTCAGGTGACAACTATACCAGCGATCTAAATTACTCTAACAAGAATTGCGCCAGTGGTATGTTAGTTACTATCACAGATTTGGAACTTAACTTCCCCAACGGTACCACTGCAAGCTTATTCGATGGGATGCAATCTTCTGCGATACTGGCCTGTATTGTCCCAGACTACCCCGTCTTGATGACTCTGCCTCGCGACCCATATTTTGAGCGATTTGAAAGCCTTACCAACGAGTCCTTCAGTTACAGAGGGTTTGGTGTCTACTACTATGGGATGCTCTATCCCAATCCCGACTCCATGTATGCCTACCTACCTCTGCACTTCATGCGAGATGCTTATAATTGAATTAGATATACTGGTGATCTAACTGTAACCTTGAACAATGGGTTCTCAGTTCGAATACCTAATGACCAGCTTGTCGTCCCAAATCTCACTATTGATCCATCTACTGGGTCTCTTAATGCGAATGGGTCTACTCCTGAACTGGTTATTAACTCCATCCAGCAGGTGAACCAAGGCGATCTTCCCCAGTTAGGCCGCCAATTCCTGTCCAGCGCCTACCTTATGTCAAACCAAGACTCCAACACATTCACCTTATGGAATGCCGCGCTTGAGGAAGAAGAGAATCTGGTCGCGATTGATACAAATAACAAGCCAGTGGACATTTACTGCGCTGCGACTCCCACGTCGACTTCATCGTCCACCTCATCCCCACATAGTATAGGCAATCATGATAAAAAGCTGTCTACCGGAGCGATTGTTGGAATTGCAATCGGATCTGCAGCAGCATTGGCAATAGTTGCAGCGGGTGTCTTCTTGGTTGTGTCGAAGAAGAAAAAAAAGGGGGTAGTACGTGTAAACTACTATCCTACAGCCGCTTATCGTGACCCTCCGTCTGAACTCGGTCCGAGTCATATGGAACCCCACGTTCCCAATGAGCTTCCTGCTAAGCCGCCAAGTCCCTCGCACCGTTTCGCTAATATACAAGAATTAGCGTAAACTCGTGGGGAACTATGGGAGCTGTACTGTGTCCACCGGAAATGCAATGCTGGAATTACGATTTAATATAGTAATTGCAGATAGGATCTGTCAATGTAATTCATATTTATCAGTCTAACGGCAACACTAGTAAGTGAGGATAGACTTCAGTGACCCTGCGTAGACCTCATCGTGAGCACTGGAGTCGCAGCCTGACATAATCAGCCCCTAAACGATCTCTTACAGACGTTTACACTACCAGCGCCAGGTGCAAGGTGACAGCGAAGGCAGAATTGTCCTCAGGTCTATATAACCTAGTTAACAGTGGTATCATAGGCTCGATGTTTATGTCAAGTCACAGCCCACTCCGGTGCAAGGCTGTGCTGAGGTACAGGCGGTAAGAGGATTCTCCTCGTTGGGTCAAAACAAGACGCTAAAATGCTGACTGCGTCAAGCTTTCCATTTTGAGCTAGTGTGATTGGCCTACATCTGGACCAATTTTCAGGTTGGAGGCCAGCCGCTCGCACCTCAATCATGTCGCCATCTCAGAAGTGACCGTCTCTCCTTTCATAACGGGGATTTGGCCACTTGATTTGCGACAATATGTTCGCCGACCGGCAATATCACCATGGCATGGTCCATGGTGATCTACATACAGTATTAGGCTTTTTACAATCTCTACCTATAAGGATTTATGATTTATTATAATATAACAGCTACTTTGTATGCAATATATGGGCTATAGAAAGCGAACATCATTAATTATTTCCGTGGCCATATTATACATATGGCAAAAGAGTATACTTTGCCACATCAGCCCTAATACAATTATTTTCCTCTGGGGGCGTCTATTATTCTGACCCTGTTATCTTCCTCAACCCAAGAAAATTTTACACTTGATAGATGTGGTAAAAAGCCTCTGAGAAACTGCATTTTCATAGTGGGCCGGTGCAGGTACAGATTTCCCAATGAAGCTTGGTTTAATGGGGATACAGCATGGCTGCCCTAAGTCATACTGTGACCCACTGTTGTAGCTAGGCTGGAGATCCTAATATAACGCTATAGCAGGGTTGATCAGCAACATTCGGAACGGGCCTCCTCTTCCCCGGCTCGCTTGTCAGTTTTGAGGGCTTGTGATGGGTTCACCCTGGTACTTTAGCCCCACGAACCTACCATCTTTTACTCCGTAAGTACCCCCAGTCGTGCACAGCCTTGTGTTCGGGTCGTGACATATACGGCTTGTCCCACTCTCACTAGGCCATCCTTCGTCGCGAGGTTTATGACATAGCTAGTTATGGAGAGGAAGTCCGCTTCTTAAGGATCTTTGATTTTTTTTTTTTTTCCCTGTCAAGCATGGGTGTGGTTTGCAGCAATCATGCATGTGTATATATATATACGTGTGTGGGTGGCTTACCCACACTGGCAGGCATAAATTGATTATGCACTAAGGTGCTCCGCAGTAATCGGGCAATGCCTGAAGCCGATGTTTACGATTAGTATTAATTTGCTGTTAACTTCTTAGGATAAACTAATGATAGGCAATTAACCGGTACCATCCGTTTGGCGATGCTGTACGAGGGATACTTCGCTATAATCTGGCATCAATATTCCCGTAGCTTACCATATGACATTAGACGAGCCAGATAGCGGGTGTAATGTTGCTGTACAGAACAACGTAACAGCTTAGATGAGAGTAAAAAATTGGCGTCAGGTCAACTACTCAAGACCGCCACATTCCTCCAATGTCTGGGGACATCGACTTCACCATGATGGCCGTATTAGGTGATGGTTTATGTAGTCCTTAGTGGAAAATATGGGCCTGCTAGCAGAAATTTATTCTTCCATTTTGTCCATTAAAGTAGGGCATAGATAGTCGAACCTGTCTTTGAAAAATGCTGGCTCCATTTTTGATACGGCTTGGCCATGTGTTGCAAATTGCACGGAGGCGGTTCGAGCGTGGACTTTAAACTGTGATACTTTCGGAAAGGGGAAGGAAGGATTTACGTTTTAGGTACTAGTCAGTGTCACAGCTCCGATATAGAACCGACCCGTCAACTGCACGGAGTTCCCGGTCCCCGAATTCCCTGGCTCCTCGTATATAATATCCGCACATTCTTGCACTTATAAACCAGCCTGGCAAGGCATCGTCTGACTATATAGTCCTGCTTGCTGAGCCCCGATATCCTACCGAATAAGCGGGTATCCTAAGCTATTTAAGGGCAGTATCAGACATAAGGAAACAGGTAAGAATCAAATCCTTAGTATTTCATTTTAGTATATCCAGCCAATGATAAACGTTTTCCTTCTTTCCTTCCTACGTATCCTTACCTGGCTGGTAGGCTATCGACCTCACATAGTAGACACTTCGCTGTACTAAAGAGCTCTAGGTTTATCTATGAAAGTCTGTTTAGTAGACTAAGTAGGAAAAACAACTACTCTTTCGCGAAACAAATTTTTGGAATTACACCACCACCCCACACCGGAAACGGCTAAAAATTTGCCTAGTTTCTTGTTTCTACAAGAGCTATCTCCTAATACCAGTATTGACTGGTAGGAGATAGTATTAAGTCGTGCACAGTCCTCGGCCCCTGCAGGCACTGCCGACGCGGCCGACAATATAGCGAGACCCCTCCAAAAACACATATTGGACCATAACCGCGAGGCTGCCAATCTACTCGAGTATCTTAAGGCCTATAGCTCAGACACCCCGAAACAGATTATCGAGTTTATCCAGACTAGCTAATTTCTTATTAATACTCTATCCTACTTCCCGGTAGAGAACGCGTGGAAGATCCAGCTAGACAAGATATAATACACTATTAATAATATCAGAAAAGATACTAACAAATTTATAATAAAAATAGAAGATCCTATCCGGATATATACTTAAGTAGCAGCCAGAGCTCCTCTACTATACTATTACTAGTCGATATATAACTCTAATAGTACTGTACCGGTACACTCTACTGATTTCGACTATAAATATACTGTTACTGTAAAGATAGATAATTCTACTATAGTCAAGAATCTCTGGAGACTCACTAACAAAGACCTAGTTAAATATATTAAGAAGTATTGCAAAAATATTGTCTACAAGACTATTAGCCCTATACTAATATCTGTCTAGTTTGTTACTGCGAAAATTCTATAATTAGGTAACTTATAGCTCTTCCTCTACAGTATTAAAGAGATAGAAATTACGTATATCTACCGGGATACTTGGATCCGCGGATTTGATAATACAGCGCGGGTTGTTCTTCTAATATAGGGAGTAGTCACTGCAGATATATCTTACAAGGCCTTAGACCTGCTAAAAGATAAGATAGACTGTAAGTAGATTACCCAGAAGCTTGTGGCCAATAATTACTATATATAGGGTAATTGTCACAGATCCGATGATGACTCTGCATGATGACTGTATCGTATACCCTGCCCGTTTTGCATATACAGCTCGGAGGCCGAACGGTGACGACGGATCACATATCCGTCGTCTTTTCAATAGCGTATAGTAGCTCCTTGTCAGTCTTATCCTGTTGGGAGAATAAGGGGCTTCTTCTGGATATAAAGTTAGCCTAGTGTGAATGAAAGAGGAAGGCAAGAATCAGTCTTCTGTCTGCCTGATATCTACTGCTTAGCTTTCAGCCTACGTACCCTTACCTAGTTGACAGGTCTTCTACCCTGAATAGTAGATATTTCCTTGACACGAT